TTTGCTGTTGGGTTGAGCGGGTCACCCGCGCACCCACCCACAACTCACCCACCACCCGCGGATGGCTCCCAGCGCAACCCGTCACCCACCCACAGACCCACCCACTTAACGAAATTCGGGTCAAATGCGGGTGGGTCGGCCCAAACCGGCGGATGATCTGTCCGCATGCCCAGCCCTAAGTGGCGGACCCAGGATTGTCAGAGAGGTGTGTCGCCGATAAAATAAAATAATAATTAAATAAAAAATTAAGTAGAAATTAAAAAATAATAATTCATAAAGTTCACAATGTCATGTTTACAACGAATCGCGATGACTTTTCATCTGCTGAAATGTCTCTAAAATACATTAATCATTTATACTACAAAGAAAATCTTTTTCAATATACACAACTAAACAATCATTCATAAATTGGTCACTCAACCGATTTCGAAGGTCATTCTTGATTATTTTCATAGCTGAAAATGTTCTTTCGCAGCTTGTCGTTGCAACAGGTAATGATAGGGAGTTAGTGGCCGCCTGGGCTATGGGGCATTAGGCCTGTGATTTTTTTTTTCTCTTTTAGTTATAGGCCGAGGCCCAGCACACATCACACATGTATATTGTATGGGCTGAGAGTTTTTTTTTAATAGGAATTGATAGGATTATGATTTATGAGTTATTTTAAACAAAATTAAAAAGGATTATGATTAAGATTGATTTATTCGGATAATAAATTCTTCGAGTATAATGAAGGTGTGTCGGCTATAATTATTGAAGGTGTGTCGGCTATCTCGAAATAAAAAAATTTGTACCAAAAATATGTAGGTCCTTCACAAAATTCTCGAGCGATCCCTTGCCTTAGGTCCGCCACTGCATGTATCAAATACCCAAAAATTCATCGCAGAGAACACTTTTTTTTTCTCCTATACACCCCAGCCCAGTTGCAGCCAGCCGTGTTAAGAGTCAGAGATAAACAGTTGGCCCACCCCCAACGGGCAACCGCAAAAGAGCCCATTACTACAAACACGATCCTTAACTACTCGGCTTACGCACCATTGCAACACATACACTGATACACAGAGTACCCACTTCCTAGTTGCAAATTGCAAGTTGCTCTTGATCGAGAGACAGCCAGCCAGCCAGCAACTGCAAGAGGTGACGACATAACCCCAATTCCACATGACCACACCCACATGTAGCAGCATTGTAATCTGCATATTTCTAGCAAGTTACCACGAATACCATTAATCAAGCTATAATATTTGCGATACATGTATATCGATGGTTAACTTATAGCTAGCTAGATACACTGTACAACCATCAAATTCAATCCAATTGTCTGCAACGCAGCTCAACTTAAATTCGGCAGCTTGCTGTGAGAGCAGCATGCTTCTTTCTGCTTCTGTTTTGGTGTCTGCAGTGCAGAGAGAGAGAGAGAGAGAGAGAGAGAGAGAGAGAGAGAGAGAGAGAGAGGGAGAGAAATTACATTGGATCCTGCATATATGGGATGGGCAAGTGGGCTTATCCTTTCTGCCTTTCACCCTCAACTTACAAACCCCCCCAAAATGCCCCCATGCATCCCACTTGCTGGCTGTTGCCCATTTCTACCACCGCTATCCCGATGGGAGCTACGGGGTCACCTAGCCACTCAACTTTGGGGGTTACTAATAAACCGATAATTGGATTTTCTTATAATATTGTCACCATGGAAGAACCAGTAACACATAGTTAAATTTTTAATGTGCCTATTTAACCAAGTTAATAATAACATGACAATCACATGATTAGAGGAGATATACAGCACATCTAAAGTCTAATTGGAATCCAACTCATTATTCGACTCAATTGAAACTTATTATTACTAGGAAACCGTTCCATCATGGATTTAAGGAAAATCCTTCATTTGTTTGTATTTCATTTAGGGACCAAATCCGTGGAGCCCACAAATTTTAAGAGTCCAAATCTGTGGACCCCACGGACTTGTAAATCTCACTAATTGATGTGAGATTTGTAACATGCCATAAATCCATGATGCGATTTTACCCGTATACTCTCATGAACTTTTAAAATTCCAAGGTTACCATCACATTTACCCATTGTACAATATAATTAATTAATTAATTAATTGACAACAAATAAATAATATAAATATTCAATTAATGTACAAACATGAGTTAGATTTTTATACCTTTTCTTGTGTTCTAGTTTCCGTTGGCCTTTTCATGAAAAGTGTAATTCTTTGTTCCCCGGTTCTAATATATATATTGTTATATGTTACTTTTGAAAAGGAGGACAAATAATTGGTAACCGATATATGTTACGTTAAAACTTAAACGGAATTTTCCCGTTTATTATTATTGTCCTTGTGACAACATTATTCTAATTAGTACGTATAGTCTTTGTTTTGTGTACATATCATAAACATGACAAACAAATAGAAAATGACAATATGGTAATTTTGGACTTTAAAAGTTCTAAATACCAAACTCTTAAATCTATAATAAAATATCTCAATAAACAAATAATTGTTACAAATTCATAATGCTTCAAATCCGAGGAAATTAGTCTGGGCTTCATTACATTTTTAGCCCATTTACTTCTTACCAAAATGATTGGGCCTGGTTTGTTTGATTTATTTATTATTATCAGCCCAGCCCGCTTTCAAGTAGTAATCGTCGTTCCCAGCGAATTCTTTTCCGTTTCTGAGAGCCTTCGCTCAGTTCTTATCGCAGGGCTTTTAGCTTTTCATTCCATTCATAGTCGGCCATCAATTCCAAATTACCAACAAGAAGTTACCAGAATCATGCAGGCGATTCCCAAAGGGAAACCAAATTGCTTCATGGAGAGCAGAGAATTGAAAAAAGGCAAGAAGTGGGTTTGTTCCGCCTGATACTTGCCGCGTTCGCACTGCCGAGGCGAATAAGAAGGGATTGCCTTTGTTAGAGAAGCTGGGAGATAGTAGAATTGAGTTGGGAAGCTATTCCCCCGCGTTCTATGGTGGAGGTTTAACGACGACTCACCGGAATAATCCTCCGGCACCGAGCTGAAGTTTAACACAAGTTTTCATGAGATCAAAGGTCAGTGAGCTGGGCACAGTGAAAAAGAACAAGGGTTTCACGCTTCATTTTCTCCGTTCTAATTTGGGTTTCTTTGTGGAATTATGTTAAGTGATCTGGAATGAAATGAAGCCCTTATTCTTAATGTCAAGTTCCCTTATTACACTTTAATGGTCATTTTTAGTAGGCTAACTACTCTGGTAGACTGTCTCTAATTTTCTACTCATATTCTTTTTGGCTTTTAGTCGTCCTTTTCTAATTACTACTCGCTTCATGACTAATGTAAACTGATTTGGAAGCTTCATCACCAAAATAAAACCCACAAAACTTGAAAAGAAATGGTAAAAAAATTCAAAAGTATACATAAACGGAGTGATTAGTGAAGGTTCTTTTTTTTTTTTTTTGCTTTTGTGGGGGCAGATCCCTTTGCTCAATTATCGTTGACTTTCTTGGTGGATTGTTCTGCATTTAAATTTAGATAGGTAGATGGCTTTATAAAAGTAGAAGTGCTTCCACTCAAGTTGATGGGTTTATCTGTGTTTATGTCTTTCTCAGCACCAATTCAGTAACAGTGGCCTTCTCTTGGCGAAACTGAAATATGCATCGATCTTGCAGCAAGCCAGCGTAGCAAATTGTAAGTTAAATCTTTAAATGTTTAATCCAAATAGGCCGTTAACAGTATGAAGTGCGTGCCTTCTGCTTGAAGAATGTTCCAGTAATTGTATGAGAATTGAGAAGTGATTATGTCCATCTCCATTCTTATCTCCAAAAAAGTGTGCCCTGCCAAAAGGCTTAACAAGCAACTGGGTTTTGGGTGTATGCTTTGTTAACAGTTATGTATTTCATCTGCTGGTCTCTGACCATTCAGTATGGGAAGTTAAGACTTTTGATCATACCTTCTGTGTCATTAATTTCATTATAAGGTTTCTAATTCTAACTTCTAGTAATTGACACCGGTCTTTCATGTCAATAATCAGTTGCAGACCACTTTCTTGCCCACCCATCAAGAATCTGGAAGAGTGGACTCAAGATTCTACGGACTCGTTTATCTGTTATGATCAGCACTTTTTCATCAGACGTCATCCAGTAAGCTTATGTTGTGCTTATCAGCTTTTGAAACAGTCGAGTATCTATTCACTTCAGTGCACACTGAGAGAGGGCTGCTGCGTGCTCAAACTAAGGTTGATGAAAATGTCCCTGTCTCCATGGCTCGCATTATGTTGTACTCGTGCCTGTCAGTTCCCTGATGAATCAAGTTCTATTTTGGTCGCAATTGAATGGCTGGAATTTATAGTCTTGTCTCCCTGCTACCAGCACGTCCTGCTTTCCGCCATTGATTTTATCTTCTTATTCACCCTTCTAATCTCTTCCATCAAACGTCTCTGCCTAAGATTCAGTTCCAATGGCAATTCCAGTTCTTCCACCAATAGACCTCTTCTTGAAGAGGAAAGGTCTTATGTCAAACTCACCCTTTGGTTCAAACTATCTCTATTTGCTGTGGTTCTGTTGGTTATATGCAACACAACGTCTCTTTGTCTCTTGGCTATCAGACAAAGTTCCAGCTCATCATGGAAGATCACAGAGGCTGTGTTTAGAACCACTCAAGTAGTAACCTATATGGTAGTTCTAATTCTGATTGGACATGAGAAGAAAGTCCGAGCAGTTACTCATCCTTTGTCCTTGAGAATTTATTGGATTGCCAATTGCATTATCATGAGCATATGTTCTCTGTCAGCCATCATCCGATTCTTTTCTTTCAACCAAGGAATTGATCCTGACCTTAAGATGGATGATATGTTCTCTTTGGCCAGCTTTCCTTTGTATATTTTCCTATGTGTAGTTGCTTTCCGGAGGTCTTCTGGTATAATCCTGATTAGGGAGTGGGTTAAAAATTCTAAAAAATTGGAGTCTAATATCAGTGACTTTGCTTCAGCTTCTTGGTTTTCTAAAGTTGTGTGGCTTTGGATGAATCCGATATTGAGTAAAGGACATAAAAATCCTCTGAAGTTGGATGATGTACCAACCCTTCCTCTTGATCACCGAGCTGAAAGAATGTCAGATATCTTCGAAACTTATTGGCCTCAACCACAGGAGGATTTGAAGCATCTAGTGGGAGTCACATTACTCAAGTGCTTCTGGAAGGAACTTGTTTTCACCGGCTTCCTTGCAGTGGTTAAGTCAATAGCATTGTATATTGGTCCTGTCCTCATTCACGGTTTCGTTGATGTGACAGATGGACAGGGAAGCTCGGCATACGAAGGATACTATCTGCTTTGTATTCTCCTGATTTCGAAAACAATTGAAGTCCTTAGTACCCACCATTTCGATTTTCATTCTGGAAAACTTGGGATGTTAATAAGATCAAGCCTCATGACTACTGTGTTCAAGAAAGGTCTTCGATTATCATGTTCCTCTAGGCAAGCTAATGGGGTTGGAAAGATTGTGAACCACATGGCTGTAGATGCTGACCAGGTGGCTGAAATGATGTCAAACGTGCATGACATATGGTTAATGCCTTTACATATTGCTCTTGCTTTAGTCCTAGTCTATGCTTACATGGGAGTCTCCACATTTGCAGCATTAGCTGCAGTTGTTGCAGCTTTAACTTATTCTGTGATGAGTACCCATAAGACTAACAGTTACATGAACAGTGTGATGGAAGTTCGTGATGCCAGGATGCGAGCGACAAATGAGATGCTTAACAATATGCGTGCAATCAAGTTCCAAGGTTGGGAAGAGCATTTTAGCAAGAAAGTCCAATCTTCTAGGGACCAAGAGTGTAGTTGGCTTATCAGGTTCATGAACACTTCATCGGTTACCCTGGCTGTGATATTTAATGCTCCTTATGTGATATCAGCTCTCACTTTATCAGCTGCAATATTGTTAGGTCTCACCCTTGATGCAGGGACGGTATTCACATTAATAACACTGTTAGGAGTATTAGAAGAGCCGATTCGCACCTTTCCAGATGCGTTAATCTCCTTCTCCCAGGCAATAATTTCTCTTGAAAGGTTAGACCTTTACCTGACTAGTTCCGACTTGGATGGATCAGTGGAAAGAGAAGAAGAATGTAGTGATAATTCTAGTGTGAAGGTTCAACAGGGTAATTTTTCTTGGGATGATAATGGTGATGAGAAAATATTGATTGATATAAATTTGGGGATCCAAAAAGGGGAGCTTGTAGCAATTGTTGGGACTGTAGGATCGGGAAAGTCTTCCTTATTGGCTTCAATTCTTGGTGAAATGCACAAAATCACAGGGACGGTTAGTATCTCATGGTTTTATATCACGAAAAAAGGTTTTGGTATTTCCTTACCAACCAGTTGCTGGATTGCTTTTCTGCAGGTCTTGGTCAGTGGCACTACTGGGTATGTGGCACAAACTCCATGGATCCAGCATTGTACAATTGAAGAAAACATATTGTTTGGTTTGCCAATGGATAGAGAAAGATATCAGGAAGTGTTGAGAGTTTGCTGCTTAGAGAAGGACTTGGAAATTATGGAGTTTGGCGACAAGACTGAAATTGGTGAGCGAGGAATCAATCTCAGTGGTGGTCAGAAGCAACGGATACAGTTGGCCAGAGCTGTGTATCAAGATTGTGATATCTATTTTCTTGATGATATATTTAGCGCTGTTGATGCTCAAACTGGATCCGAAATCTTCAAGGTACAAAAATAATACAAAGTCAAGTTCTATATAATCCCTTTACCAGCTGGAAGACATGTATTGTATTTTCTTAGTTATGATTACATGTTGGTAAAATTGCATTTTTAAGACTGATTGTTGTTTGCAATATCTTGCAGGAATGTGTGAGGGGAATCCTTAAAGACAAAACTATTTTACTAGTAACCCACCAAGTGGACTTTTTACAATATGCAGATCTCATAATGGTGACTTATTCCTCCTCTAGTGTATTTTGTTAACGCAAAATTAGCTAGAGATTTCTAAATGCTGATTAGTTTTTGTTTGTCTAACTAGCTGATGCGAGATGGGATGATTGTACAATCTGGGAAGTACGAAAACCTTCTGAAATCTGGCATGGATTTTGGAGCTCTTGTAGCTGCTCATGAAAACTCCATGATGTCAGTAAATATGAACAACTCCACAACTGGAGAGTATACTCAACAAACACAGCAGAGTTCTGAAAATTCTTTGGTCCAAGTAAAACCAAATGGGGAAAGCATTCATTCGGATCCTGAAGATGGATATTCTGAATTCTCTTCTGAAGATGACTACTCAAAGCTCATTGAAGAAGAAGAAAAAGAAACTGGTCATATTACCTGGGAACTGTATACGCAGTACTGCACCAAAGCATATGGATGGTGGGGAGTAGCTATCATGGTACTAGTTACTCTTATGTGGCAGTCATCTCTAACGGGCAGCGACTATTGGCTGGCATATGAAACCTCTCCTGGTCGTCCTTTTACCCCTTTGATATTTATTAGTCTATATTGGGTCATTATAGGGGTTTCTTGTCTATGTATTCTGGCTAGGGCATACTTTGTTTCACATTTAGGTCTTGCAATTGCACAACGTTTCTTCAACGAAATGCTCCAAAGCATTTTGCATGCCCCAATGTCGTTCTTTGATACCACTCCTTCCGGAAGAATCTTAACTCGAGTAAGTTTAAGGTAATCTGCCATATTATGTATTTAAAAACTGTACCAACAATTTAATTCTTGTTTCAGGCATCACATGATCAAGAAAATGTTGATGTCTACATTCCGTTGTTCTTTGGCTTCACAGTTATGATGTACTTTACCCTGTTCAGTGTTGTCCTCGTTACTTGTGTCTTCTCTTGGCCAACTGTATTCCTCTTGATTCCACTGTTTTGGCTAAATATCTGGTACAAGGTAAGAAGTGAGAACAATGCTGATTTTTTTGCTACATACAAGTTCTCCCACTTTAACATGCATCTGATCTCAGTTCCACGCTGCGATCACCCTATGCATGAACCATTCTTTATCCTTCTTGTTTGCAGGGTTACTACCTTGCATCATCTCGCGAACTGACTCGGTTGGATTCTATTACAGAAGCACCAATTATCCATCATTTCTCAGAAACAATATCTGGTGTGATGACAATTCGTTGCTTTAGGAAACAAGGAATGTTTTGTCAGGGAAATATTGACAGGGTAAATGCAAATTTGAGAATGGATTTCCATAACATTGGGGCTGCTGGATGGATGGGCTTCCGGTTGGAATTGCTTGGAAGTTTGATATTTTGCATTGCAACATTGTTCGTGATCATTTCACCAAGTGCTATAATAAAACCAGGTATGTCGCCTTCAGAACTAAGAAGTCTCAGCTCGCCAGAAGCTTCAGAATTTTTCAGTGCTCGAAATGTATGTTAATGGTTTCCACATTTGTTGGGGTTGTAGAACTTGTTGGCATGTTTCTTTCCTATGGACTTCCCCTCAATTCAGTTCTGTTTTGGACCACCTACATGGCTTGTTTTCTCGAGAATCGGATGGTTTCTGTCGAGAGAATAAAGCAGTTCACTGATACTCCATCAGAAGCACCATGGTGGATCATGAATTTCATTCCGGACCCTAATTGGCCCAGCCATGGCAACATAGAGCTGAAGGACTTGCAGGCAAGTAGTGACCTTTCGTTTCTTATTAGATTTTTCCAAACTTCCCACCACTATTTCTTCAGTTTAGAGCAAATTAAAAGGTAACGGGATGGTGAACTTTGGTATGCAGGTTAGGTACAGACCAAATACACCCCTGGTTCTGAAAGGAATAACCCTCACAATTCTTGGAGGTGAAAAGGTTGGCATTGTGGGGCGCACAGGAAGTGGGAAGTCAACTCTCATTCAAGCGTTCTTCAGGCTTGTCGAGCCTTCAGATGGGACAATAACCATTGATGGCATTGACATCACCAAGCTAGGCCTCCATGATCTCAGGTCCCGTTTGGGAATCATTCCACAAGAACCTGTCCTCTTTGAAGGGACAGTGAGAAGCAACCTCGATCCAATTGGATTGTATTCGGATGAAGAGATATGGCAGAGCCTCTACCGTTGTCAGCTTAAAGATGTGGTGACTGCTAAGCCTGAAAAACTCGACGCTTTAGGTATTTTCTAAAGAAGTCATGGAACTCGGTTTACACCAATCAACAAGTTTGAATCTAGCTTTGTGGTTAACAGTTTAGATTATTGGTCAGCACTTTCACTTGTCTCTGCTACAAAAAAGAAAAATTATACATCTACGAAGCTTCATCTTTTTTGCATACAGTGGCTAATGGTGGAGACAACTGGAGCGTTGGACAAAGGCAACTTCTTTGCTTGGGTCGACTTCTGCTGAAGCACCATTGTAAGGTCATATTCATGGACGAAGCTACGGCTTCAGTTGATTCCCAGACCGATGCTGTGATTCAGAGGATCATTAGGGAGGATTTTACAGCCTGCACAATCATTAGCATTGCTCACAGGATACCGACAGTCATGGACTGCAACCGGGTGTTGGTTATGGATGATGGTATATGAATATGTATCTTTGTTTAGACTTCTCCATTTCTGGCCTACATTAGCAGGGCATTCCTGTTTGAGCTTAAGATGACTTTGGAGTTTTCTCTTGTTTTGTTGAACACACAGGGCTGGCAGAGGAATATGATGAACCAGCTGCATTGCTTGAAAGACCGTCGCTGTTTAAGGCACTGGTCCAGGAGTATACAAGGCGATCGACAGGGTTTTGATTGGTAATTAACTCTAATTATATAGGTAGGTTCAAGACGGCTACCTATCCTTGGAGAATTCAGTTCCACAAACCCCGTTGTTACTCCTCCATGGAAGGGACGTAGGTAGATAGATCCATCAACGCCTTTGTTTTGTTGACTCCATTTGAGAAGAAATTTTTGTCCATGTTTGTGAAGAACCTTTAATGTTTGTTCAACTTTTGCCTTCACAAGTTTGATTTCAGTCATATTATGTCTATGTAATTGCAGTTGCAGATAGAACAACCTATTATGGTCTACTAAACTACATGCATTTTCGATATATTTCCAGGAAATTTGTGTACCGCAAATTACCACTCTTTACCATCTTCATTTTTAACTCAAAGTTTGAAATTATTCACAGAAGAAACAAATTCGTCTTGATCTACAAATTTGAGGAAAAAAATTTCCATGCACAAAGCCAAATTTATTCACCCGACTTCCATATATTTTTGACTCTCCGTAATTCAGTCTATTGCTGCCACCAGTTAATATCGCAATTTATCATAAATGACCATTAATAGTGTGTGATGTTGTCACAATTTAGAATTTCCTCTTATTCGATTGTCGTTAACCGTATTATTCGGTGCGGTTTTGGTTCCAACCCCCAAATATTTCCACTTTTCAATTTAATAATAAGAAGTTGGAAGAAGCGGAGATTGCTCAATGTGTTGCCTGTTGGGTGGACGATTACCCGGAAGCTCAAGACCAGTCCGATCCTGAGGTGCATGCGAGCCGAAGTTCAAGCTCAAAGTGGGAAAAGCCTTTGATTGGGTCTTTCAAGCTCAATAAGAATGCAGGTCTAATTGGAGATGAAGGCTATCGACTGGGAGGAGTGGTGAGAGATGTTCAAGGAAGCTTTATCTTCGGTTTCTCAAGGAAGGAGAAAGAAAAATGCTCAATTGCAGAGGCAGAGGCCAGAGCTTTGGAGATGGGTTTGAGAGAGGCGGAGAGAAGGGGTTTCTGGCCTCTGCTTGCTGAATCGGATTGTTCAACCATTATCTCCAAGATTAAGAATCAAGATGACGACAGGACAGAGACATGCATAATCTGTGAACGACTGAGGTATTTGGGTTCTGCGCGTGTGGATAGAATGAATGCGTAGAGTTATTGAGTGCACTTTTGTTCCAAGGGCTGCAAATAGTGTGGCCCATCAAATGGCACGGTTGGCTAATGCCCCGTTCACTTTCCATTTCGTTTTCTATTTTTCGTTGCCCCAACAAAAATTAAGAAACATCGGATAAAAAAAGTGTTCACTTGTTATTCTTATTTTTGTTGGGCAATTAAGTTGACAATAAATTGATAGTTGGGAGGAAACAACAAATCTCCGTTTCCTGAAATATCAAACACGGATTCTCCCGTTAAATGAGCCGTGGGTTCGAATCCCCCCTCTCGCATTTTTTTTTCAAATTTTGCACTTACGTATCCACAAGCAACCTTTGGTGTGGTTTTGTGTCTTTTGGCCGCTGAACCCTAGCAGCTGCCATTCTGCCAGTGCCAAGTTCCGTAGTCAAAGAGCTTCCACACCAGCAACCTCTTCTCCACTCCCCAGTTGAAGCTCCTCTTCCACCAGTGGCCAATTGATTCCTCTCATCCATCCAACGACGAAAAACTTCCACTCCAGCACCGCTTCTCCAAGTCCCCAGCCGATCGATTCCTTATGGTTTTTTGCTCATCATTTGTGGGGAAAAAGCAATCATGAAGTGAGGAGCAAAGAGACTTAGGTCGTTTGGAAGTTGAGATTTCAAGTGAGGTATTTAGCCAATACATGTAATGATAAGATTAAGTTGTTTTTTTGGTTCAATTTGAGTTAGAATGCATGTATTACCTTTTTCCTGGCCCACACACAATCACTCAAAATGAATGATTGTCAATCTCTACAAAAAGTAGAGATTGTTAACAAGGGATTGTCTACCCTACTTTTTGCTCAATCATTATCTTTCCAAACAAGGTATTTTCCTAATACATGCATTGAATCAATACATCAAATAATAATACATGAATTGATTAAATGCATCTATTTGGAGAATCTCAACTTCCACATATTCCGCTGTTGTTGTTAGATGTAATATGATTGTTTTATTCGCGGCAGACGATGAACTAGGCGATTTTCATATAATGTTTTTTTGTTTCTACTGTTAGTCCATACATAGACATGATGTACACATTCCCCAAACCAAATAAATGATCTAACGAGTCATTTTGCTTGAAATGTACTATCAGCAGTCATAGTAATGTGAAATTGGTCATTCCTCTCTAGCTTCAGAGTATTATGGAAAATAACTCCATTACTACTTTGATATAATATGTACACTTATTTTGTTCATTAGTAATTTTACATAATATGATCGATATCATGATTAGATATTGTTTAGGCCTGATTAGTACCAGGCTGTTGGTGAAGATCCACAGACCGCGCACGGACTCTGATCGGGGGCGGTCGTGTCATGCCCTACAAGGAAAGGTCATCAAGGGAAGCCTAGGACCTCCTCTGATGCTTAAGTTAGTGAGAGAACTAGAGAATAGCAAATAAGAGAGAGAGAGAGAGAGAGAGAGAGAGAGAGAGAGAGAGAGAGTGGTGGTTGGAAGTTACCATAAATGTGACCCATTGAGGGGTATTTATACTAGCGTTGGTTGGGGTTATGGCATTTAATGCTTTGTCGGGAGTCTATGAAAGCCTCCGGGTTCATTAAATGCGTAGTCAAAATCGTATCTTTGTCAGTCTCCGCACTGAGGCATTCAAGAGACCGTTAGACCCTTATGTCAGGCGGTCTTCCAGGTTTACGTTGATAATAATGTCGGGCGGTTCCCTTAGTCATTCAAGAAGACCGCCTCCGGGTGGGCTTTCTTGTGTATCCCATGCTGTTTGGGTCGGTTTGTCTACTTATGGGCTTTTAGTGATCATGGGCTTGATGGCCCACGCGTCTCAATGAGTGGCCCAACATTTGCCCCTTAGGCGTGAGAAGCTTTACGTTTTCGCGGCTAACAATTGCTTTTGCTAACATTGAGCGGTTTGGAGGTTGCTCAACCCATGATTACCCGCCTTCCCCCTGGCCGTGAAGGCATGGAGCTGGAAAGCTTGAGAGGCGGTCTGGACGCTCGGCTTGCATTGTGTTTATAGCATGATTTTCCTTCTTTCTTCTCACCATTCGTGCTATTATTTCTTTCTTGCGAACCCCGCCATTGCGCGGTGCTTGGGCTTTCAGTGGGATCTTTATGGCGACAACGGCGTCCGTCGATCCCTTGGTCGCTGGCAGATGTCGAACGACGACCAAACTTTGTCCTCCGCCGTGGAGAAGGATGTCCTTGCTACCACGACCCAGGCGCACACTGTCGGTCTTGCCCCAGCGGTCGCCTCAGAGAAGAATCGGTCGACCTCGGCAGTGCCGCTGTCGCTTCATGTCGCCGGAAAGAGAACAGCTGGATCCTCTGGTGGGACCGCTCCTATTACTCAAGGTATGACCTGTTTTTCTCCCACTCGAACCGCGTCTGAGTGCGTGTGGGATTTATCCGAGCTAGAATTATACATTGGGAGTGGTTCTGAATTGAACGATTGTCTTGTCGGGATCGCTTTAGACTTAGATAACTCTTTTGCTAATATCCACCCTGTGCCAATTAGGGTTGTGGCTACTTCATCCGCGGTTGGGGATAACATGGGTGAGTTTGGGCAGATAGATTTAGGTAGTGTGTCATTGGATGAAGACGAAGCGGTTGATACTGACGGTGTGTGCTCGGAGGCGCTTCCGAGCACATCCTCTTCCTTAGAGATTGTTGAACCAGAGGGTGGGGAACCACTTCCGCTTACAATTGAGGATTCTACCTATACAGTCCTTCGACATGAGGGTATGTGGGGCGGTCAACTGGAACCACCGGAGGTGTTTGGTCTGGGGCCGTCACATGAGGCGATCTTTAAGCCGGAGCAGGTACTCTACCGTTTAAAATCGCTTGACTTTCCTCCCGATTGGCATTATGCGGCTCCCTCGGAGGTGAGTCGATCTGGGTTGTGTCCGAGCGATTGGATCCCTATTCATGTTGAGTAGGTGAAGTTGGGGTTGTTGTTCCCTTAGATCCCATCTTGACTAAGGTCTTACACTGGCTCGAATGCACTCTGGGGCGTCTGTCGTCGACCATCATTTTTCATTATGTGATGTATCAGATTGTGTGTAACCGCCTTAACAAAGATCCATCCTTCGATGCGTTCCGCTTGATCTATAATATTCGGGATTCCACCAACTATTGGTCTAGAGGAAGGCGGGAAAACTCGGTGGGTTTTGTCATGGGGTCGCCCAAGTTGGATTCTCCGTGGTACAAGGAATATTTTTTCGCGTGTCCTTCATGGAAGTGGTATTCAGGAGAGACTGAATCGCTAACGGGGTATGTGATGGGTTCTAAGGGAGCTTGGTGTGCCCCAAGCCAGTTTCCTCAGTCAGTGAAGGGCCATGTGGCCCGCCTTGTAGAGAGCGTTTAGTTGCGGGTACGACCCAACGGTCTTGAGAGCGCCTACCAGCATGTTCGGGGTTTTTTGGTCAGTAGAAATATTTTCTTAAGTTTATGCTTACACTTTCTCATGTGATTTTACTTATGTTTCTTTCTTCCAAGTTTAAGGGATTTGGCCGATGCTAATAGGCCAAAGAAGAAGAAGGCAGTGAAGACCACGAAGGCTGGTGGTGTGTCTTCCTCGGCTGCGATTGCAGGAAAAACTTTGCCCATGGTCTTGTCTTCGCAGGCTCAGTTGACCGCGGATCCGTCTGGCACAATGGTTGTGGCATCGATTCCTCTGACGCGGGGTGCTGGAAAGAGGTCTCTAGAACAGGATGCCTCAGTTGTGACCGCCAAACGTGCCAAGGCGAATACCTCTCATGGGAAGGCGGGGATCAACGTGACAAGGCCGCGGAGTAGCCTGACCAGTTAGATTCCATAGTCGTATCTCCCCTGGCCTTCACCGACATTAAGGCCGCCAAACTAGCATTCAACACCGTGAGCGACCAACTTACATGCTCTCGGAATACACCTCCACTTCTCGTGGGTGCAACAGGCGTCTTGTTGGGATCGCCACTCACTTTGGGATGATTTCTTTTGTATGCTATGACTTGACTCGTCAAACATTTGCTTTCAGGCTCAAATTGCGTTCTCGCAACTCATTATGTTGAATGACCGCCTGTCCAAGACTGTGGATGAGAATGCGCTCGAGATCGCCAAGCTTAGAAAAAGTGCAAGTGAAGGGCGTGTTGCACTGATGGAAGAAGTGCGTCCGGAGGTGGCTTGCGGCTTTGAGGAGCGATTAGCCAAGGAG